ACATAGCCCATGGACATGGGCAACAGGGTGTTGAGGACCTGGGTGGTAGGTAGGGAGGGAACAGGGGAGAAAAATGGGAGATATCTGTAATATCATCAATAATAAAAAATACATTAAAAAAGATATACTACATAAATACAATGGAATATTACTCAGCCATTAAAGAGAATGACATCTTACCATTTGCAAAAATACAGATGGACTCAGAGGGTATTATGCTAAGTATAAGTCAGACATAGGAAGACAAACACCATATAATTTCACTTATATGTGGAATCTAAAGAACAAAATAATGAACAAAACAGAAACAAGACTCATAGATACAAAGACCAAACTCATGGCTGCCAGATGGGAGAAGGGTTTGGGGGCTAAACAAAAAAGATGAAAGGATTAAGAAGTACAAACTGGCCCTTGCCAGTGTTTCGAGCATCAGCCCACATGCTGAAGGGTCGTGGGTTCGATTCCTGGCCAAGTATGTCCCTGGGTTTTGGGTTTGCTCCCCACCCCCTGTTCAGGGTGTGTGTGGGAGGCAACCAGTTGATGTGTCTCTCTCATATTGGTGTTTTTCTCTCTCTCCTCCTCTTCCCTCCCTTCCACTCTCTCTGAAATGCAATGGGAAAAATATCCTCTGGTGAGAATTAACAACAAGAACAAAAAAGAAGTATAAACTGGCAGTTACAAAATAGTCACCAGGATGCAAAGTACAGTACAGCATAGGGAATATAGTTAGTAATATTGTAATAAATATGTATGCTGCTAGGTAGGTACTAGACTTATTAGGGGGATCACTTTGTAAATTATATAAATGTCTAACCATTATACTGTATACTTGAAACTAATAAGATTGAATGTCAACTGTAATTAAAAATTTTTAATTAAAAAATAAAGTATACATACAACTTAACAAAAGGAAGATAAACAATCCAATCAAAAAATGGACAAAGGACCTAAATAGACACTTTTCAAAAGAGGACATTCAGAAAGCCAAGAGACATATGAAAACATGCTCAAAGTCACTAATCATCCGAGAGATACAAATCAAAACAACAATGAGGTACCATCTCACACCTGTCAGAATGGCTATCATCAACAAATCAACAAATGACAAGTGCTGGAGAGGATGTGGAGAAAAAGGAACACTCGTGCACTGCTGGTGGGAATGCAGACTGGTGCAGCCACTATGGAAGACAGTATGGAGTTTCCTCAAAAAACTAAAAATGGAACTCCCATTTGACCCTGTTATCCCACTTCTAGGAATATATCCCAAGAAACCAGAAACACCAATCAGAAAGGATATGTGCACCCCTATGTTCATAGCAGCA